TTACAATTGTGGCAAGGCAGGACATCGATCCAAGGATTGTCGAAAGCCAAAAAATGTGAAGGGAAAAACTAACCAGGCCAATGTAACAGAACATGAGAACCTCACTGATAAGGTACAAGACATGAATCTTTCTGCGGTCGTCTCTGAATGCAACTTAATTGGAAACACTAAGGAGTGGTGGGTAGATACTGGAGCTACTCGTCACATATGCTCAAACCGCGGGATGTTCTCTACCTACAAAGCAATGGATCATGATGAACATCTTTACATGGGAAACTCGTCATCTTCCAAGGTAGAAGGACATGGGAAGATAGTGCTGAAAATGACAAGTGGAAAAGAGCTCACTCTGAATGATGTTCTTCATGTGCCCGATGTTAGAAAAAACTTGGTATCTGGTTCTCTACTAAGTAAGAATGGGTCTAAACTAGTATTTGTCTCGGACAAATTTGTACTATCAAAGAATGAAATGCTTATAGGAAAAGGCTACCTGAGTGAGGGGCTCTTTAAATTGAATGTAATGACTGTTGTACCTCCAATTATGAATAAGAATACATCTTCTTCTTACTTGCTTGAGTCATTTAACATTTGGCATGAACGATTAGGACATACAAGTTATAACACTTTGCGTAGACTAATCAAATTAGATTTATTACCAAAGTGTGATTTAAATCCTAATCACAAATGCGATATATGTGTAGAAGCCAAAATGTCACGTCTACCCTTTCGTTCTGTTGAAAGAAGTACCGAACCCCTAGATTTAATTCACACCGACATATGTGATTTAAAATTTGTTCAAACTAGAGGAGATAATAAGTACTTTTTTACTTTTATCGATGATTGTACTCGATATTCCTATGTGTATTTGCTCAAAAGCAAAGACGAAGCAATTGAAGTGTTTAAACACTACAAGTTAGAAGTTGAAAATCAACTTAGCAAAAAGATTAAGGCCATAAGAGGTGATAGAGGTGGTGAATATGATTCACCATTTGAGAAATTCTGTTCGGAACACGGAATTATTCATCAAACTACCGCGCCTTATTCTCCTCAATCTAATGGTATTGTTGAACGCAAGAATCGAACATTGAAGGAGATGATGAATGCTATGTTAATAAGTTCTGGATTACCGCAGAACTTGTGGGGGGAAGCCTTGCTTTCTGCTAACTATATTCTTAACAAACTACCACATCGAAAAACGCAAAAGATACCTTATGAAGTATGGAAAGGTCACAAACCTAATTATAAATACTTGAAGGTATGGGGATGTTTGGCTAAGGTAGTAGTTCCTAAACCTAAAAGGGTTAAGATAGGACCTAAAACCATTGATTGTGTATTCATTGGTTATGCCTACCATAGTAATGCGTACAGATTTATGGTATATAAGTCTGAAATACCTGATATGCATGTTAATACAATTATTGAATCAAGGGACGCTACATTTTTCGAAAATACTTTTCCTTATAACGTGCAAGGTGAATCAAATTCACAAAAGAGATCTCATGAAAACGAAGAGACTATAGATCAAGAATCCATAAATGAACAACCTAGACGAAGCAAGAGGGCTAGGACGTCAACCTCCTTTGGGCCTGATTTTCTAACATATTTGTTAGAAAATGAACCTCAGAGTTTTAAGGAGGCTATGTCATCAACCGAAGCTTCATATTGGAAAGAAACTGTTCATAGTGAAATTGAATCCATACTACAAAATCATACTTGGGAATTAGTAGACCTCCCTCCCGGTAATAAGCCTTTGGGATGTAAATGGATTTTCAAAAGGAAAATGAAAGCAGATGGATCAATTGACAAATATAAAGCAAGACTTGTCGCTAAAGGCTATAAACAAAAAGAAGGTCTTGATTATTTCGATACCTATTCTCTTGCGAAAAGAATCACATCCATACGTATGCTTATTGCAATAGCAGCATTGAATGGTTTGGATATACATCAAATGGATGTTAAAACGGCATTTTTGAATGGGGAATTGGATGAAGAAGTTTATATGGAGCAACCTGAAGGATTTGTGGCCTCAGGACAAGAAAAGAAAGTATGTAGACTTGTTAAATCATTATATGGATTAAAGCAAGCTCCTAAGAAATGGCATGAAAAATTTGACATGGTTATGATGTCAAATGGTTTCAAAATTAACGAGTGTGACAAATGTGTTTATGTTAGGAACACTCCAAATGGATATGTCATGGTATGTTTATATGTAGATGACATGTTGATTATGGGTTACAATGATACCATAATTCAAACTACAAAAAGGATGCTAACAAGTAAATTTGAAATGAAGGATTTAGGTGTGGCCGATGTTATATTAGGAATTAAAATTTCTAGAACATCTGATGGTCTCATATTGTTTCAATCACACTACATTGAGAAGATTCTTGATAAATTCAAGAAATATAATATTATTCCTATGAAAACACCTATAGATGTTAGTATGCATCTTGTTTCCAATACTGGTGATAGTAAGTCTCAATTGGAATACTCTCGTATCATTGGCAGTTTAATGTATGTCATGAATTGCACTCGACCTGATATTGCCTATTCAATTAGTAGGCTAAGTCGATATACAAATAATACAAGCACTGATCATTGGAAAGCTATTGTTAGAGTCTTAGGGTATTTAAAACATTCCCAAAATTTTGGATTACACTATTCGAGATATCCAGCAGTACTTGAAGGATACTGTGATGCAAATTGGATATCAGATACTAAAGACTCCAAATCAACAAGTGGATATGTCTTTACACTTGGAGGTGCTGCAATATCATGGAAATCTTCAAAACAGACATGTATAGCTAGATCAACAATGGAATCGAAATTCATTGCATTAGAAAAAGCCGGAGAAGAAGCTGAATGGCTACGAAACTTTCTAGAAGATATTCCATGTTGGATAAAACCAGTGCCTGCTATATGCATCCATTGCGATAGTCAATCAGCAATTGGTAGGGTACAAAATGCAATGTACAACGGTAAATCTCGACATATACGTCGTAGACACAATACTGTTAGACAATTGCTCTCTACAGGCATTATCTCTATAGAGTATGTGAAATCAAAAGAGAATATTGCGGATCCGCTAACTAAAAGTTTAACAAGAAAGCAAGTCGAAAGTTCATCGAAGGGGATGGGATTAAAACTAATAAAATAATCAAAAGTTTTCATGGTGGCAACCCAACCTAGTAGACTGGAGATCCCAAGATCTAGGTTCAATGGGACAACCGAACTGTGAAAAACTTAGTATGCACTGGGAAGATTTTACTTCTACCCATTCCTATGATGAGCCAGTGCCTAGCTGCTTCGAAATAGGTTAAGATACGCTTTTAATGATTTCTATATCTTGATTTGTTCAAGTGGAGAAGTGGAGTATAGCAGAATACTCTTTATGGAAATCACCTATGTGAGTGAGAAGGGGCCGCTTCTAAGAGAATTAGGTAAACATGAATTCTCTAAAAATCACTCATGAACCAGGAGGTGTCCAAGGCCAAAATGGACACAAACGTGAGAACCAACTGTGTTCGAAGAAAAACTGTGTGACTTCTATTGTCTAGGTTTCCACAAACGGCTGACTGTTCAAAGCAACTTGCTACTGATTGGCTAAGGAATCCGATAGATTTTACTAGGGAAAGTTCAAAGTCATTGACTACTTATCCCGATGCAGTCTTCTTCAATTTTTTTCTTTGAAAAAACATATCAGGTGTTATCGTTTGGAATAAAGGCCAACATATTTCATTCATGTGGGGGATTGTTGAAAAAAAATGGTTTAATAGGTCAACTTTGAGCCCAAATTTCAGTGGGACCCACCTTTTAAATAATACGGGACCTAGCATATTCACGTTCTACTCCGCGAGATGATTAACGTGATATATTTATTTATCGAAAACCATTTAAAATTGAATGAAATATTAAGTGTTATAGTAACCCACATAAACTAAGGATTATGGAAGAATTTGATTTACCAAACACTTATCCTACATAGGAAAGTTAGGAAACTTTGGTGTGGTTTATAAGGTGGAAGTTTGGAATTGGGTTTGGGCCCCAAGGGGTACCAATAGTTTTTGGAAGGGGGAAGACCTATATCCTATTGGGTTCGGTCATAAACCCACACGCGCGCGCCGCCGCCCGTCCGTCCGATCGGCCGGCTCGGCACGGCACGAGCACGTGCCCATGCCCGAGCCCGAGCCCGAGTCCGGTTCGGTGCGGGTCCGAGTCGACCTTTACACTATATTAACTTTTTGGACAAAATTTATTTAAAATTTTGGACCAAATTGTAAATAATCAAATTCTTGGGTACAAAATGAAATTTAAATTTTGGCTTATTCCCGATGTTTTATTTTCTTTTTAACAGTCGACTGTTTCGATTGTTTACCGACCAAACAGTCGACTGTTTACCGACCAAACAGTCGACTGTTAACCGAATTAACAGACACGACTTTTTAGAACAGTATGTCTGTTCGGATTTTTGAGGCTTGTCTGAAAGGTGACGACTGTTCGAATGGCCACGAACAAGTCTATAAATAGCCAGCCTTTCTACCAGAAAATTTACACCATTTTCATTGCAAACTTTCTGTACTTTGAATCTCATTTCCCTCTCTCTCGTTCTGATATTGTCTCGAAGTAAAAAACACTTCGTTGAGTTCGTTGGAACTCCTACAGACTGCAGTGCTGCTTCCGTAGGAGACGAAAAATTCGTTCTATCCTGGGAAACGATTGCTGAACGCCTTTAGCACCATTGAAGGCAGCAAATTCGTTTTAAGGACACATCGTGAAGTCGGTGGGCTCGAATTACAATTTTGGATCCTGTTGATCAATTCTTGCATTCAGATAATTCTGTCAGATTGTTTTAGAAGGAGTGAATTCAAGCTCTATAAACAACACATGATTCAGTTGATATTTTTTGATCTGTTCAAGTCTTGGTTCCTTAACGCTATCTGAACTTTCCAGATCCTCCTGGCAGTGTAATAAGTGGGATGCATGTGGTGAGTTTTTTCTTTTTCTTTTTCTTTTTCTTTTTCCTGTTAGATGATTGTGTAGAACGTCATAGAACACATTTTCTCTTTTTTTGAAGGCAAAAATCCATTGGGATTCCCTTTTTCTACAGCCAATTTTCTGTTTGATTAGCGGCAATTTTTTGAATAATTGTCGTTTTGGTGGGAGGATCATCTTTTACTTTTTAAGTCATGGTTCTATTGGTTTTGCAGCTTTAAGTTGGAGTAGTGATCCCATCTATTAAGCCTTGTTGCCGATAAATCTGGCGTTGACCATATGAACCCCTCGGTGATTCTGGGTTGACCATATGAACCCTTGAGTGATTCTTCACTGAGTAATGGTCCAGAAAAAAATAAATCAATGTAATTTCTTGAGTAGTAATACTTACGAACATGTTCAAGTTTGATAAAAATGGAGCTTCTTTAAGTTTTACATTTGTTTGGAACTATGCTAACCATAATTTTAATTATTATGAATGAGCTATCTTAAATGTGTGGTATTATGTATTGATCTACGATTGATGCAGGTGAACTAATATCAAGAAGGGAATTAATTAATAGAATTTTTCGATGAAATATACTTGAGCTGCTGCTTGCTTCTTACGCTGATTGTAAAGAATGTCTGCTTATGGACAACAGATGGAGCGGGAGTACTCCGCTCAAAGTCTTTCGAGTACAAGAGGTTCCGGTAATTCTGCTCTTGAAATTGAAAATAAGATATCGGTGAGTAAAATTAATCATCACATGTTTGGTTCATGAATATGAAAAAGATGAATTTTCCATAAGAAAGGCAATTCTTTCAATAACAACTTCTAGGGATTTACTTGGATTATCTATTGATTTATCTAAGTCACTTGTTGTAGAAATGGGAAGTCATTTTACAATGGAGAGAGGAATTTACATGTCATCTTTTGCTGCTACAGTCTTTATCTCTGGGCTAGTTACAATCGGGGTATCATTGATGGCATTGCTGATTGCATTGACAGTAATGTTGCAAACTTGTGAAAATACGAATTCAGGAGATTTACAGATGTATAGAAACATTGAAACATATTATTATTGCAAAAGTTACGCTCTGCATGCAGAGTTGAACAGTTTAGAAGTAAATTTTTTCCCTGCAATTTGCAAGGATGCAGCCATACGATACATCAATGAAGGTCAATATTTGAGAGATTTAAATATCACAGTTGGCATTGCTGAGGATTTCTTCAGCAGAGTAAAGCCACTGAATGATGGTCGAGACATTGTGCTGATGGATGCAGACGACTTCATTACTTCAGAAAATGTGCATTCTCATCTTTTGATGCGCTGGTAATTTCCTGCATAATCTAAAAGCATGTTTAGTCAGTTTAAATTTTAAAAACAGAAAGTTATAGAGCTTTCTTATAAAATAGCAAAAGATTTGTGTCTGGTTTGTTTTGTGCCTCCGTTGTTATTGACTATTCCCACGAGTTGTGCATAGTTTCTGGTTTCTGGGAGACTCTAAATTAGCTTCAGGTCAAATTTATGATTGTTGTCTTAACAAGGAAAGTCTGTTACTATGATGTTCTGTTTCTCTTCCATCTTGAAACTGCACCCTCTTATTTTTGCCTTTATGGATACTCTGTCCTAGAAAATAAAATCAAATAAATACTTTCCAAACCATTTCCTGGAGACTTTCTGAAAATACAAGCTTGCAAGCCATTAGTAATCCAGATGAAAAAAAGTAAGTCTTACCATATTCTTTTTAAACTCGTGATATATGGAATAGAGGTGAATGCTATGCATGCAACAAAGTCATATGTATTCTTCGTTATGGTAATAACTTCTTTGCTGAGCTGATTGGATACCTGCTCAAAGGGATTAGTATCAAGCATTACCATGTTCGATACAAGTCATGTTTTTTTCATTTAGGATGCGTATTCAATAGAACTATAGTGAGTAGACGAGATTCTATCTTCTTCTTTTTTTTTGGTTAGTTATGCTGTTGAGCAATGTCCAATCGATCCTACTAAACATACCCTTTAGTATTTTTGAAGAAAGGCAAGACTAATTAATAGCAATATAGTTTCAGAGGGACCAAACGAATAGTGTGATTCATCTAGCTTTGCAAAGAAAAAAAAAGGGTAATGGTGACTGTCTCTTTTTGCTGCAGGATCAATAAAGATGCCTTCCATGATAGCAGTAGGGTGAAAAGAATGTTTGTCGTGAAGTTATATCTGAAACTTCAAGCCTGGCGATGGCCATTGATTTTGATATCAAGGAAACCCGAGAAACTGCGTGATGCCACAATAGAGCATCTGGCATCAGTGGGATGCAGTGGTTGGTCTTCACTAATCATGAGGTAATTCATTCTTTTCTTAATAATTTCAAGACATCTATAATATGAGCCTTGTACGACATACTCCTGTATGATTATAACACAAATCTTCTAGTTCATGTGAGATGCTAACTGCAAAGTTTAAATTCTTTGAAGATATTTTTTTCTTGATTAGATTTAGAAATTTTCCCGTCTAATGATGGCATTTATACAGACAGACCGTAAATGTAGCATAATTTTAAAAGTTCTAGCACTTGAATTATATATGAGTAATGACATTGAGTTTTTTGAGGTCTTCAACAATGAAAAAGGAAAAGCAGAATTTATACACCACAGGTTTGAAGTCATAGAAAAATTGCATCTCATCACAATCACTTGTAGAGGTTATTATCAACTGTTTCAAATGAACAAAAGAAGCCACAAAATCTCCTTTAGTAATCAAAATTCGAAGAGGAGACAGATGTTCATTTTTGAAATATCTGTGCTGCTAAAATTATTATCTTGCAATGACTTATATAATCGAAAAGATGTCGAGCATATGAAGATGTCATATGATAACAAACCTTTAAGAGAACATATTAGTAGAGATCCCCATCCATCTGTAACAATGGCATATATATATCTGCTAATGGATGGTTTCAATCCTCGTTAACATGGCACGGGACTCTTAACGTGTCCAACTCTTGTAGATGGTTTTTATATATGATTCTGAATTCTGTGGCATCTGTAAGGCTCGTCACAAGGTTGGTCCTGATGCAGAATGGACAATGAAACTCAAATGGATTCTCAACATTTTTCAAGACACAGGACTAAACTGCAAAAGGAGGGGTTTCGAATCACAGCTTTGATTAGCAGCCAGATGGATGCTGCAAGAGGGCCATGCATAGGCGAACGCATTTTCAAGCTCCCGACCCCTATGTTCAATTACAAAGCAGAAGATTATGTTGAAAGCAAAAATTTATAAGGGTAAATTTTTACGCTCAGAATTATAATAGTATCATTCTTTTGTGTTGCTGAGACGAAAATCTTCATCTTACTTCATTAGTGCCGTGTGGAGGAGAAGGTGTATATTGTATTCAAGCATAAATTTCACAATGATAAATGTTCCCTTATGGCATGTTGGATTGGATAGCACGGGATATGATTAATGAAAAGATGTTCAAATCTTGTTCATTGTTTACTAAATGTGACCGTAAATGATTTTGTGCCCATTAGAAATTTCGTCCCCAATGTAAATACATGGAAACTTCGAGCTTGCGTTTGTATATGTTGTATTACAACTTAATTATCGACTTATCGTCATGTCATCATTTTTTTAATGCATTGCAAATTAATTAGCAATAAATTCTTTGTTAACTTCACCGCTTAATACTTAGAACTTTCTATGCATTATGTGATCCTAATATTATTGATATCATTACATTTTATTCTTATAAACTTCAATGGCATCTTTGGTAGGGAGACTTGGAGAGCATTAGACAACGTTAAGTAAGAAAAATAAGTTAAATATTGTTTATTAATATATTCAGTACCATACGAAAATGTTGGATAGCCATATGTTCTATGATATGCTGATAAGACTTTTTTCCTTAGTTATGTTTTCTATGTTACGTAGAATTAAGTAAGACTAGACCTAATTAAAGAATAAATATAATTAGATTATTATTATTTAATGTTATAAAGGCTGCCTTACTGGACAAATCATCAATACATTCTCACCAAGAAAGACTCTAAAATTGAAATGTTTTCTATTTTAAAGAGTTATTTTTTAAAATTAGAATAATACTATTTAGTATCAGTAGTGTTAGAGTAACGGTCTATGTAATATTATGAGATAAATTTAATTAAAAGTGAAATTATGTCATTCATTAATTGTACCTTTCATCTGGTGATACTTTAATGTACCTAAATTGGTATTATAATACAAGTGGTGTTAAATATCATTACTCTTAAAATTATCCTTCAAGAAACTTTTCAAATTGACATTTTAAAATAGAGAATGAGTTGATAGTCAAATCCACTCTCTATAATTAAGTCCTTGTTTGGTCCTCGTTACTTTCAAAAGACATTTTTTTCTCTTATTTTCAACCACAGATTCTTTAATAAAATAATATTATACGTAAATTTAAAATTTTTTCTTATTTTTTAACTACACATTCTCTGTCAAAACGATATTCCAAAATACATTTTGGACGAAAAAAATGGAGCTCAAACATGCTTTAAATGCATTTAAATTATTTCAATTTTCAATACTCCACATATTGACCCAATATATATATAAAGAAAATATAAGAAATAATACAATAATTTGAAGGGAAGCTGATGAAAGTTAAAAAAAAATAAGGAAAAATAACAATTATATATCGAGATTAGTAAAATTAAATGTTAAAGATAAAAAGATTGTTGGAGAATTCAAGATTTGTACGCTCTAAATTTATGAGTGCTCTCTAAATTGAAAATTATACTTTTTAAAAATAGAGCGTCTAAATTGCTCTTATATTCTATCAATTTCAAAGGCCGCAACTTTTCCAACCTAATCAAGAAAAACAAAAATAAAGAAGGGAGATGTGTAACAAAATATATTGGTTATCAATTCATATTCTAATACTTAAAGTTCTAATTTTTCCGTAAAAATAGTAGTGAAAATGTCTATTGCAGACGATTTTTGCTATTTGTACATCGAAACATGGTGTACATGTCCCTCACAAGAGAGGAGCTCACGCCTAATAAAAAAAATTTTGGGTCCTACCTTTTGTGAGGAAAATTGTACATCAAGGAGTCAATTGACACTTGGCAAAATTGATTGCAGAATATGTAAGTCTACCATTAACAAAGTACAATGAGCTTGTTCAATAGGCTTTTTCCTTTTGTACCAGAATAATTCTTTTGATTTATCTCATTCGGATTGAAAACGCTGACAAAAAAACGTGGCTGCACAATAAAAGTACACAAACATTCCATGTACCTTACTATACACTATCACTTCTCCTAAAACGAAATGGCTTTACTGTACCCACACTAACTACTTATATATGCACCAAATTCCCGCTTTAAACCCAATTCGTTTTCAACGAACTTCCACAGAATGCATCCCTTTATTCTGTACACCGCCCTCGTCCTCTGCGCCACCGCCTGCACCGCCACGACCTTCGGCGTCACCTACAACCCATCAATTCCCAACATCTCGCCGCCTGAAAAAGTGGCCTCCACCCTCCATCGCCTCCATATTCAGGCTGTCCACCTCCTCTACCCCACTCCGGCTGCCTTGCGAGCCTTTGCCAACACCAACATCTCCCTCCTCCTCTCCGTCCCCAATTACCTTGTCTCCTATTTCGCCGCTAGCGGCTCCGCCGCTACTACCTGGCTCTACTCCCACGTCCTCCCCTTCCACCCCGGTACCCGCATTTCACTTATCTCCGTCGGCTCTGACGTCATCGCCGCCACGGCTAATTTTTACGCCGCCTCCGATCCTACCACCACCCTCGTCACGGCAATGAAAAACCTCCATTTTGCCCTCCGAGATCTTGGCATTCACTCCATCCCTGTTTCCACCACCTTGTCCTTCATCAACGTTATGACGACTTCGTTTCCTCCATCCTCCAAGGAGTTCCAAGTACCGGACAATTCTTTGATTATCACACCATTGCTACAGTTCTTGAATGAAACCAACTCTTCACTTTTGATCAATTTGTACCCACACATTACCTATAGAATGGGTTCCGAAATCGCACTTGGTACGCTTTGTTCCAAGAACATCCGTTTAATTTCTTGGATGACACCGTCACCGGTGTCCACTACATGAAAATATTCGACATGATGGTGGATGCTGTTATAGCTACGATGGCAGATTTGGGCCAAGAGAATATTCCAGTGATCGTGACAGAAACCGGGTGGCCAAATGAAGCCGAGTCTGATGCTACCGGAAACTATGCCAAGATGTACTTGAAGGGGTTGCTGACGCATTTGAGCCTGAGGTCAGGAATGGGGACTCCATTGAAGAAAGAAGGGGTTGCTGAGGCTTACGTTTATCAATTGTTTGATGAAATTGATCTAAAAAAGAGCAGTAATAGAAATGGTACTAGCATTTCAAGGAGTCGATGGGGAAGGCAGAAATGGGGAATTATGCATCTCAATATGACTTTGAAGTACGGCCCGTACAGGATTGATTTCCAGTTTGCCAAAGGATTCTTGGAATTGGTAATAGCTTTGTTCATATGCTTCATGTGTTGCATGTTTCTAGAATAGACACACAGAATTTCCACTGCCTTGTATGGGCATCGAGAATTGTTTTGCTAGTCTTTCTAGTTTCTACTCTGTTAGTTTTGACGTCATCTGATTCAGGTTCAGTAGTACCAAGTCAAGATGTGTAATTGAGGATATGTCAGAAGAGGGAGAGAGATGACAAAACTAACACGACATTGCCAAATTTATCGAGTACTCTTTTTGTATTTGAATTCCAATTCCATAAATGGGAATGGCATAGTGATTTTTGCCTTGTGAATCTTTTTAGACTTGTTACAGCTGCAGTAAGATTCAAAAGCACCTTCTTTCTGGGTTGAAAAATCTTCAAGAAACCTGCGGTCCATATATGCCAAGAATTATTAAACGAGCAACCAAAAAATGCATATTAAGTCCTAACCCAAGTTGCCAAATGAGAAACTTACAAGCATCCATTAAAGCAACATGCATCATTTTGTATACCCCGAGTAACTGTATGAAACGTTTGTTTTGTCTTATCCGAGTATGCCCGGTGTACTTGTACATGAAATTTTACATTTATCAATAAAAAAAAAAAAAGCATCATTTTGTCCTTTTGTAATAAGAAGTATAGCAGAATTCTTTCTTGAACAACTTGGAGTCGGGCCTTCTTTTGTAATAAGTATAGCAGAATTCTTTTCTTTTTGAGAAGAAACACCATGTCTACAATTCCCTGCAAGCTTCTCCAAGGTTTTAGCAAACTTTTGCCTATTTAGGATAATCAGTAGAATATCTACAACCACTTTTATTACTTTTTAGTGGATTAGTCCCTCAGAAATCGGAACAATCACTTTAGCAAAACCTTGTATCATGGTGATCTTCTCAAAAGAGGGGCTCTTGAGAGCAATGGTTATTCAGACTTGGTTATAAATTATATTTTTCATAATGCAATTCTCCGGTAGTGATTATAAAAGGCATGACATGAAATCCTAGGCTTAGGAGTTCTATAAGCCAAACTGCATCATATTGACCGGTTTCGCTAGGCCACAAAAACAGATAAAACTTATGAGCCATTTATCTATCCAGAAATCCTCCAGTGAGTTCATGACTCACTTGTCACTTGAAAATAATTAAATTTGCCATTTATCTATCCAGAAATCCTCCAGTGACTTCATGACTCACTTGTCACTTGAAAATAATTAAATTTCACCAATCAATTTTAAAACTACTCTACAAAATTCTTAATTTATAGCTTCAAAAAGATGAGAAACAAGCCAATATGACACGATCAGTCCAACATGAATCATTTTTCACTTGCAAATACTGCAGTGCATAAACAAGTTGTATGCAAATTATGATGCATCGACATGGATACGTATATTTGACATGCAATTTTTCAAAAAAGTATACATTTAGTGTTATACTTTTTTTAAATATGAGCATTTATTTGTTATTTAATAATAAATTTGAACTAAAAATATATAATATTGTGATAAATAAAAAATAAATGATCATAGTAGCGTGTTTGAGGAATGTCAGTATCGGACACACTGCCTTAGTTAAGTGTTGGACATTAACACGTTACCCTAATTGATGGGTCCGTGCAACAAAGTATGCAAACATCAATATCATGGACTACGAGAAACGTGAGGAATTGAACTTACAGCACAGTGAAATTATCCACAAAGTATCTCCATGAGTAGACACAATACATGGGTTCTATAAGATTCAAACAGAAGCTTTAATGGACTTATAAGATGCACATAGAATCTAGCTTTTGCTAATGCTGTAGAGGATTTGAAAATTTGGTCCACTTTTGGGGGGGGGGGGGGGGGGGGGGGGCGGGGGACAAATTGATCATAATCGTAATGAAGACTTCTTGTGCTAGGTGCTGACAGACAAATTATTGATGGAAAATGTGTGATTAAAAAAGAATGAAAATTTTTTTATTTGCGTGTAATATTATTTTCATAAAGAATGTATAATTGAAAATGAGTACCGTAGAAAATATATGTGATAAAATGTGAAATAATGGATGACAAACAGGGGCTAAATGCAAATTTAGAGATAGTTCTTACACTAATAAAAGTATTTGTCAGAATGCACAAGGTGTAAAACATAATCTGTGAACAATCATGCTGCAGTGATCGAAAATGGTTGACAGAGGGGATGACCGACCCACATAATGGTGGGATCCACTTTTTATTTTGGATTTTTTTATTCATGCGGGACCCACGTGCATGTAAGAGGATGTTAACCATTTGGTCATCCATTTTCAGGCAAAGTAGTTTAATTCATCTGTGAATACGTATCGGCACAAACCTAATTTCTTATCTGCCCGTTCAATTTTTCAAAAAAAGAATGGATAAAGTGTTGGAAAAATTCCATCGTATGGGGCCACAAATGTATATATATTAAAATGTGTGGTTCTAATTTTAAAATTTAGTCGATAAAGTGATCCATTAAATTTAATTTGGACTAATGGGGATATTAAATGTCATTAGAATAAAGTATAGAGACCAGAAATATTATGTTAAATTGATGAGAGGCCAATTTGAAATAATACAAAGATAATAACTGCTTTAAGCAGTTATTTATCACGAGGTCATGGTCTTCAATTGTACGTGAATTCACATCTCTCTGCATCCCCATCAAGAGAGAAGAGTTTCCAAGGGAATTACGTAACAATTGGAAGATCAAAACCCGTTTAAAGCACAAACATCTATAGATCAAGGTAAGCTTCCGCTTTAATCTTCTATTTGATTTCAACATGAAGCATTTATGTAAATTTGTGAAAGGATTTGATAAAGTTTGGCTTCTTTCAATTCCTACATAACGGTGTTAGAATTACGGGAAATTTATTTTTGTAGACATGAATTGGAAAAGTTTTTAATAAGTGCAATGATTAATTGTGACTGTTCAATTGCAAATGATATCTATCAAAGAGTTATACTGTTTCGAAATGGGTGTGACATTTTAATAGAGTGCAATATACACCATTAAAAATCAAAATGATGCGGTCTAATTGTTTAAATTAATTTGTGCCAAAAGATGCTATCATTTGAAAAGATATATGAAAATCTATAAATAGGACCCTCCGAATTCCATTTTCACCACTCCAAATCAATTCCATATAATTGATTTCTAATTCTTTCATTCTCTATATTATGTCAATTTAACGTCCGAATTATTTTTGAGTTGCATGTTCGATATTTAGTATTCGATATCTTTCATTCTAGAAGAGTAGAGTCAAGTGTTGATTCGTCCAACAATATTAATATTGTGTTCTATTGATTTTGAAAGAAGCATTGTATCTTAGGATACAAATGTTCATTTGATTCTGTTAGCACCACTGCAGAGGGAAAAATTCATCTTGAGGAGATTTGCATTTGCATACCTTGTTTCATTTCATCTCCATCTAATTTTTACATCGTAGAAAGTCGCAATTTGTGCATATATTCATACGTGAATTTTGATTTCTATAAGTCAAAATTCTATTAGATATTTTGCAGGTGCAAGTCACAATTTTATCATCTTTGCATGCATATATTTTTGTTAATAAAATATAATTCATGAACTAATTTATCTGATTAAGGCAACGTTTGAAGCTTGTGAAGACCTGCTTAGTAAACTTGCATGATGGATATAGTCACAAGTTTCCATGTACTTAATAAAAAATAACTATTGCAAATTGTTTTCGACATTACAAGTTTCGATCAGATTAAGCTATAGCTTGTTAATGAATATAGAAACTTCCATAGATGATCTAATTTATTTCAAGATTTTGTGTCCAATAAAGGTAATGGTAGCTTGGCGAGGAAAGGGTGATTTGGTTTAGTTGGGGAAGAGATCCACTGATTTTTATTTTTATTTTTTCCTTCTTTTTGTTTATCTTATTACTTTTTCTCGTAATATTTTTTTAGTAGTGCATCCTTAAACACAAACAAAAGTTGAACGGATTAATTACACATCCAATGTACATAATGTTTCACCCCTTAACATGGAAGGAGACCCACGCATAATAAAAATTATGCATGTATGCCCTCCTTGTGAGGGGGCTGTTAGAGTGTATGTACACGAAAAGTGTACACACAACATAATCCAATTTGTAAACTTACATGGCTTTTCATAAATCACGGCAAAAAAGCAAACATGCTACGTAATTTGAATCGTGATTATACAATCTTCCTGAATGAAAATAAAGTTCAAAAAATGATTTTCTTTTTCTTCCATGAACGAAATTAAGACAATTTCTCGTTTAACATTTGTAACTCTGGCAAATAATGTGTTGAGGCCTCTCTCCCAGGCTACTGGACAAATCTGAAGACATGTTCCATATGCAGTTAATTGCCAACAAATGGTCCAAACTTTACCTGAGAAGGTCAAACCTCTCTTCACATTACAAAACAGAACAGATGATATTCACAGTTGATGCTCGTCCAGTTTAGTCATTTCATCTACTACGCTTCTTCGCTTCACTATAGAGAATAACACCGACAACAGTCAGACTGTACCCGAGCATTCCAGTAACTGAGACGGGATTCCTAAATATCATTATTGAGACTACAACAGCCACAGCCCCTTTTGCATTTCCAAGGACCTGAGAGAACCATAATCATATTACCATAGAACATATGTAGAAGACCAAGAATAAGCCAAATACCGTTCATGTGAAAACAAGAGAGTAAGGCAGGAGAAACAGCATAAGATGAGTTCAATGCAGTCTAAATGAGTTGAGTTCTCTCAGCCATGGAAATATGTAGTTTAGGAGAAATAGGGTCAACAGAGTTTGAATTAGACTAGATTTGTTTGACTATGATTTTGTTCATCAAGGGAATTACTAGGGCTTCCATTTAGTCATAGACTACAATCTGATAGATTATGAAACTGAATCATTTTCCCCGAATTCTCCCATTTTTTTGTCTTTCCTCCTCCAATCTCTCTCTCTCTCCCCCTCCCCTCTTCTCTATCAAGTTCTGCATCACTACTGCAATGGGCCTTTTTGGACATCCCAAAAGTTCGCATCGGCTGTGAAAAGTCAAATCCCTTATCTTATTTCCCACACAATATAAAAATTAAAAGCAAATCACATGTTTGAATTGAATTCAAAATAGGGGTAAAATACACATCATTGTCATAACATAGTGCATAAAAAGTTGGTTTTACAAAATAAAGCAAATTTTAGGGGATGGTTGGTGTATATTAACTTGACGAGAATAAGGGCAGAAGGCGTAATCACTGACATAACAAAATTTCACTTCAATACAGCATGAACGTGATGCTCAAATCCAGCAAACTAAATTCTCAAGCTTCCCACTTTAATTTCATTCTGAACAGAAGCAATATACTTCAATTAAGGCAAGCAATGACATAAATATCTTGAATGAACAATAATTTTCATCAAGTAAGCAAATGATGCTGGGTCATAAAAAGAGGTAAAAGAATTTTATTTGGGCACTAGGAATTTGAACCTATAAGGTAGAATTTTATATGAACTACAGTGACAGGAGAAAAGTTCGAAGATCTAAAAACGTTTAATCCAATCCCATCAACTGGATCGATTACACCACTAAGAACTCTTCTACATCTCTTTCTCTCCTAGAGAAACTGAAGGTAAGGGATCAAGACTGCAAATCCCATCTGTGCTTTGCCCCTATACTGTTTAATGACTCATTCACATTAATAATTATCAGGAATATAACAATGTAGTTGTTCCAACACCATGCATCCAATTATCCTCGATATAGAATGAAATAAGGGAAACGTGGTAGCATTCCACATGAAAATGTTTGCTCATTATTTAGCGATATCAAATTAATAATCATTTGACAAGGACGAATATAAGTTCCCACAAGGCGAGAAGGGATACATCACACGTGTTATCAATTCACGCAAGAGATTACTTCCAGTATATTTAAAATTATGTCGAAACCAACATTATTTCAGCAGTCAAATAGACAATGATATCTCAGAACACAATGACCATAAAAGGGAGAGTATATCTTGACAAGAATGCATGTGCACCTTATTCATTACTTTTCTTAACAAAATGTTATGAAATGCAATTGGATACATACATTATTCTGCAAAAATATCTTTAGGCAGAAAAATAGGACAAACTTTAAACTATAAATTTTCTTCAAATTCAAAGCTGTGTTTGTATCTTCTCCAAAAATTCAAGTTTAGAAATCATAATATGATGCAGAATATCAAAGATGTAATAGATTAAATGCAACCATTTTGTATCCTCCTATGCTGTTTATTCCCTTATACAGCGTATCTTGTTATTATTGTCCATTCTAGTGCCACAAGCTAAAATATCCATGAAACTTGCCCTTTTCTTTTTGAAACGGAAACTCAAAATTTCTCTGATTCAAATATCAGCATGAAAAATATATTTGCAAATTGAGGTCAAGCTTCAAATCCAAATCATGGAAGGATAATAACTTGGATCAGAAAGCAAGGAATACCTGAAGAGTCAAAGCACTGGTGTGCTTTGTAACCAGAAAATTGGTCAAATTTACAAAATATGCAAGAGAAGAATTAAATAGGAGTAACCAAACAATTCTGTTATCCTCTCTTGCAAGTGCCAAGGTGATACCGACTACATTTTCCTCCATAAAGAGTGTTGCTGGAAGTAGGAATACAACAGCTATAGGAGCCATGTACAAGAGCAAATTCATAGAATTCAGCTTCTCCCTTGAAGAAAAATAACAAAAGTTTCAGCATGCACATATACGCCTTACACATGAAAGGCTAGAATCTCATGCAATAATATAACCAGAATATATAATGCATAAGAATATACAAGCATTACCCTTCAGAAGAAAGCAAAATCCCCTGCAGCACTGATTTAAGTGCCCTAGCAGCTGTTGCTCCAACACACATGATAAATCCAAATAAGTGGAAGCTTGGCTCGCCCTAACATCATGGAATAATTCAGAAACAAAATTGATTTCTCCTAAATTCATAAAAAACCAATAATTCAGCACAAACATGCAATGCAGACGTGCTCACATACAGTATTTCTTATAACTTGATTCCTTGAAGAATCAACTTGAGAGAAAACATGGTTCCCCCTGATAAAAATGGTAAACAGATTTACAATGAAACAACATTGGTCTCTGAAATATTAATTTGAAACCAAAAAAAAGCAACTTCCTCTAGTTGAAATCAATGTACGTGTTTGATATGTTAAAGACTAAATCGCACCGGATGAAAATGTGGAATTAAGAAAGAAAAGTAAGTTAAAATCTTGTACTATTTACTAGACAAAGCTGACCAATGCCGTTTATCAAACATATCCTCAGCGTACCAGCAGATATCAGAAATTTTCATTCCAATCAATGCAAGCTTACTACACTGAAAACAAAAATAAAAAATAAAAAAATAAAAATAAATAAAAAGGAAAAAAGAAAAAAATCAATATCCAACTCACCAACCGGACCAATTAAATACATTACATATCAGTAAAAACACTCCTGTTTCATTAAAAAAAATGTTTGAACAGAAAATCCCAAAAACAAACATTAAAAAACTTGATTCCACAATGCACATAATCAATTAAGAAGCAAACAATTGGATATGCCCAATTCAAACAACTTCAAACATACCCCACTAGCAATGACAACCCCAGTGACGACCGGAATCAAAGTCACATATGTCAACCATGCCTCTCTTTTCTGAGTTATCAAGTACGCAAATACAGCGGTGAAGAAAGGAGTTGTGGCGCCAATGGCTTGATTAAAGCTAACGGGCAAGTACTTGAGCGAAATATTCCCGCTAACAACAGACGCACAGAAAATCAAGCAAAGAGTAGAGATCTTCATGAACTGAACCCTAGATCTTATTGTCTGCATTGGAACCATCTTCAGCCACGCGATTGCGATGTAGCTCAGCAACGAGCAAGCCGTCATGTGGCACATGGTCAGGAAAATGGGGTACTTGAACCCATAATTGCTCAACAAATACTTGTTCAAAAGCAGCACCCCGATGTTAGAAAAATACCATGCCGACACTAAACCAATCGTCAAAAATCGGCCCGACGATTTCGCAGCAGACATTTTTTCCATTTTTCAAAAACCAAAAAGCGTTGTTTAATATGAACAAATTTATGAGGTGGGATTATGAAGAATTGCGAATTGATCTATTAGAGTTGGGAAAGGGGGCATGGGAATAGAAGAAAAAGAGGGATCCGAGGGACATTTAAAGTCGAAATTGTGGGCTTCAATGGATCTGATTCGATTCAATTTCCATTAACAACAATGCATATTTAGAAAAATACAACTGGAGATTTTTGGGTGTACATATATAGATATACATAAGTATAGGAAGGTATTGGATGATATAGAAAGAGAGAAGAAATCTGTGAGAATTTGGACAATTGAGAACCTGTGAGTGTGAAAATTGGAAGTGAGGCGAAGTTGCAGCTCTGTGTTTGAGGACGGCCGACGAAGAAATTGTTTGCAGAAGAAGTTGAGTGAGGGAGAGAGAAAATCAAACGAAAGGAAGCTGAGTTAATGCTAATTAATTAAATTGGCGTTTGGGCAATTAATTCATTCATTCAATGAATTGTGCAAATTAAGGAAGAAGATAAAACAAAAGTAAAGAATTGAATGGTTAATTGTGAACAACGTGAAAATATTCTTTTTCAAAATCATTTTTAAGCATAGAATAAATCTATAATTTCTTCTTACCTTTTAGTCACACATTCCTAAAAAAATCAACTTTCATTTTGAATAATCTCTCTTATACCAGCTCTGTATTAATTTACGAATCATTGTGTAACATTTGAGGAATAAAACTCTTACACAGACCCCCTTTGCATAGGAGCTCTCACGTGGGGGTAAACCCCACACATGGAATCCACCCCGTGTGTGTGCATATTTACAGACTCTGTACAAATGAATCTGTATAAATAGCACGAACCAATTTGCACTGGGTGTGTACAAACCCAACTTTTGATGGATGTGATACCAATTACATGTTCTACACGACTGTTCACATTTATCAATTCCCTTGCATTAGCCATGCTCCAATGATCCACCAAGTTTCGACCTTTTCTACTGCAAGATAAGCGTTTGAACATAATAAGGTTACCCTGACCTGTCCTCTAAGCAAACCAATGATTTTATAACAATTTGATAACTTAGAACAAACAAGAGAAACCGTACAATTCAAATCTTCTTAAAACGATCACTCGGTGTTATTATCTAGCAGAGATTTTGGCAAACTCCTTATTTCGTGTTCAATTCTGAATCATCAAAGCATTAGGATGTACAATGACTAAAATAAATTTGAAGCAAGCCACAAGAACAAGTTAATTTGGTGGTCAATTAGCTCAAACCACTCAAATCTTGTTAAAACACATTCAAGTAAGCTAAAATCTTGCTCCATTGTGCTATACAAAATTGCATACCAAACATGCTCTTATGTTTGAAGCTAACGAAACCATATTTACCAACCCCCTTTACCCCTGAAACATGACGACAAGCATTTTCTGACGAGCACGCATAAAATATATCAAAATTGGAAATCGTTGATAATTATGATTAAAATAGTGACCCAAATTGTCAGAATCAGTTATATCTAGTTTGATGTCCAATCCTTGGTGATAAATAAACATGACCAAACTATGGAGAGAAAAAAAAGGCAAAAGAGATCCTTCTAAAAGCCACCAATACTCGAACTCCGTTCAGCCACTTGAAACGCTGCAAGAATGAGAGAAAAATGGAAAAGAAACATCAGAAACCTCTCGACAACATTGAAGCTATTATAGACATCACCACATAATTATACATGATTTCTAAGAAGCACAACATGAAACACACAGTACAATGAACAAACGTGAAACAAGGATCGAGTATTATTTTGAATAGAGATGCAGGTACAAACTTCGTTGAACATAAAGTGGCAAAAGCAAAGATTCTAAATGTTGGTAATGTAAATGATCATCGGTACTACATGCAGAAATTTTAAATACCATATAAACAAATGAGATTTATTAACAATCGAATGCTTGCAAAGTTAGTTTGAGAAAGCTGGGTCAGTTCCATTCAACTAAGCCTAATCACGGTTAATATGTAAAATCAATTCTGAACCTGAATGAAAATTACAAATCTTCAGATGAATCAAAATTTAAAATGACCAAATGAGGTGGGATTGAATTGGAACTCGAAAAACTTCGATTCAAGGATATAATCATAATACACAGTTGAGAAAAAAATCAGAATCCTTTAAAGCACCCCATAGCCCTTAGTTCCCTTCCCAGTCTCTTACAGAAATTGAAAACAAACTTTCAATAATTTCTCAGATCCTTCATTTCCTACTCCTGTTAATTCCTCCAAGCCTTGTTTATATGATAATGAAGGCTAGATATTCCACTCTCAAAATGTACAAATGGACACTACACTTCCTTGAGAGTTCCAGTAAGATTTCATTCTTGAACAGAAATCCATTTTTGATTTATTTCATCTACTCCACGACCAGAACAGGCACAATATTGAATCAGAAAAGCTTGTAGGTAAAACAGAAAGGCATGAAAATACGCATATATGGAACACTAATAACTTCTTCTACATTACATTGAACATCACCAGCACTCAGCTACAAAAGAGCATGCATAACTGCAGTTATTTATTAAACTGGTGGCGTCAAATATATCAAATTAAATGTCAGTTTATCAATAAAAATCAACAATTCAAGGTCAAAGTATCACAATTTCAAGAATCATTTGGCACATAATTTGGAAAAAAAAAAATCAAAAACCAAATAAACCATTATCAAACAGATAATAAAATCCACATTTCACCAAAAAAAAAATTACAAACAGTAAAAAGCAGTCACAATTCACTTCCACAATATAAAAAACTTCCAAGAATCCTGTGAAAAAACATTATATATCACTTTCAAATGAATTAAATTTAACTATAAACCAATACCTTCAAATGTTGCTAGGGTACATGAAGACGCGAACTCGGGCTCCCATGGACTTGGGGGGAAGGTTGGATTTGAACTTAGCACGAACAACACCGGAGTTTCCATGGGGACGAATCACCTTACCCCAAATGCAACGATAGTGAGTCCCATTCTGCTTCACCTTAGCCTTGTAAATGTACGCCATTCTTTTCCCCTGGTACCAAGCTACCTCCTCCTTGCTGTTCACTCCCTCGATCTGGATTAAAGACGTGTTCGGGTACTGGTTCGACTTCGACCTCTTGTACCCCAGGATCGTGCCTCGAACGTACAACCTGCAATCAAACGCATTATTAAACATAACTTTACTAAAATATTGATAAGATTATAGATACGTGTATTTGTATGCATATGTTAGGGTAAGATCGGGCGACCTGACGCGCTCTCCTTGGCGACCCTTCACCATTTTCGACTGCTGCTTTTGGGAACAGCGACTGAGCGTTAGTGCCGGAGAAGATGAAAACTAAAACCCTAGTTTAGTGCAAATAATTAAACGGCCGTTTATATAGAGGGCTATCTGGGTTTGTAGTGTGGGCCGGGCTCATAGGCTCATAGATTTCGGATTATTGAACTCCCGTTGTCGAGAAGAAAAAAGAGATTGACAAATTGACACAAATAACAGCGATAATTAAGCTATAGCTTTGAAAAATGGGTAACGCTGCATATACACTTTTAGTGCATATAATGGGTTACATTGTACCAGTTGAAGGACGTGTGATACATATAGAGAGCTTGTAAGTATGTATACAATAACAATAATTAATTTCTAGCGAGTAGATATGTCAAAGCTTTACGAGCAGCGTTATTTGCAAATTGATTTGGGACAACTTGTTAATGCACAATATTTTTTCTTAAATTATAGGGAAAATTGCAGTAGAAGCTCCAAATCTTTGTAATATTAGCAGACTTTCCTCAAACATTTGATTTGTTGCAGCCATTACCCCTAACATTTTCAAATGTTACAGGTGGAGCCCTTTTGGACAATTTCCATCCAAAATTTCGTTAGTTGACCAAAAATTTAATTTTGACCACATTTTTAATATTTTAAAAAGGGGTAAAAAAATAAATTTTTATTTATCACATTAAATAATAATTAAATTAAAAAATAATAAACCCGAAACCCAGTCTTCTTCCTCCACCCCCCACCCCAGTCTTCTTCCAAATGTAGCAACAGAGTACAGTTTTAATTTATTGACTAGGGGTTTCCATTAAATTGACCTGTCTCGAAGCCGCGATTTCGTGTAAAAATCTGTCAATTTTGTTGTCTATTGTGGAACCCGATTCAATCAAAACCCGAACAAAATCAACATTTCCAGATTTAACAGCCAGGGACAAGGCAGATTCTCGCTCTAAATCCCTTCCATTTACATCTGTACTAGCCTCAATTAGGCCTAAAATGAAGTATGAATTTCCATTCTTTGCAGCAAATCTAAGCAAATAACTTAACTGAGAGTCATCGCATCGGGAAATTGCTTTTGAAAACAAGAAATTCATTTCCAGGAACTTGTTTGAAGGCGAAAGAAGAAATTCAACAACTTGGGGTCCAACAAATGAGATCAATATCATAGCATCTTTGAATATATACGGGCTGAGCTTTGAAAACAGTCGCCAAAAATCATCCTGATGGGCTTTTCCGATAGGCAGCATCGATGATCGGCCAAGGACTATCTCTGACGGCATTGATAACGACGACTGATTCAGAAATAGAGTGGAGATGCAGTTGAGAGAGATGGGATGAGTGAGAAACACCGTGAAAATGAAAATTTATTAATGAATAGGGGGGGTAGGGTGCGTGGGGGGTAGGAGGAAGTAGACTGGATTTTGGGTTTTTTTTTTTTGCTTTTTAATTTAATTATTATTTAATGTGATAAATGGAAATTTACTCTTTTACCCTTTTTTAAAATATTAAAAATGTGGTCAAAATCAAATTTTTGGTCAACTAACAAAATTTTGGATGGAAACTATCCAAAAGAGCTCCACCTGCAATTTTTGGAAAGGTTATGATCGCGGCTGCAACAAATTAAAGGTTTGAGGAAAGTCTGCTAATGTTACAAAGGTTTGGAGCTTCTGCTGCAATTTTCCCTAAATTATATCTAATTACCTCATCATGTAGGATTCAATTACAATACAAACTAGTAACATGAATCAATTTAGATACTGACTTTAGAATGTGTCTTCAATTAAGATTTTAATGATTTTTGTTGACCTCGATTTTTTATTAATGACGCGGTCAACAAATTTTGACTACATTTACATTAGTATGGCTCATGCACACGAAAGTGTTAGAAGCACATTGCCTTCTCCAAAGTGAGGGTGGCGACCACTATCACTCGACTGTAGAGTCAATCAACTTGTTTATATATATTTAAGTGTGAAGCGGACGAAAGATATAAGCCATGAATGTGTACGGGCACCGGGGGTTCAGAGAGAACAAGAGTTGGCAATAACACAATGGATGTGGAAAATTGGCATTTAAATGGCTCTAAATGCAAATTTTATTGCAGAAGAGGTGAAGTGGCTGTCGTTGGATGAAAAGATAAGTGGCCTCATCTTAAAGGTCGAAATGTTTTCTCCTATATGTCACTTCTGTAATCTATGTCTACAGACATTTAATGATTCTGAATAGTAGTCATCTTATAGCCCAAGTTTGACATATGAAAACAGACTGACAAGTAAATTGAAAGGCACTTGCTGTAGAGAGGACACATCAATCAATCACAAATGCTTTTATGCAGGAATTCTCTTAAAAGAGGTGGGGGAGATGATGCCTCCGCACGCTAAGAGGCTACTGATTTCGAATTTACTCTACAACAGGTCGTGGCACGTCGTCTTGCCCATGGAGGATCGATCTATACATGGCACCTCGACTGAAGTGGTGTATCACTTCAACTCCTATATCTAGTGGCCTTGGTTAGGTAGGAATGTAATGTGAATTACGTGCCTAATTTAGCTTGCTAGTTGGCACTACGTACTCGATGCCTGAAGTTTCGTCGGATGAGATATAACAATAATCCCCCAAGTCTAGATATAAATATTTATATAACGCATTTAATTAAATTGAGGATGAAATGCGTTACACGTGATATGGAGTGAAGTATGAATGTGTTCGTTGTTGGAGAAGTAATGTTCTAGCGTAGAGTATCTTTATCTTTGTTGAAGCCAGATTGGAGAGGTAAAAATTTGATTAGTTGTGGTGAAGCACAACACAATAGTCCCCATAATATTGCTGATGAGTCCAAAATCAAATGTTTATCATTTAAATATTATCCTTCATAAATCTACTGTTACAACTTATAGTCATAACGGGAAGAATTTGTCTTTTTCAAATCATTTTCAATCAGTGTAGAATTGTCGTCAAATTCATGTGGAACACCTCTTGAGTATTCTCATATGTGATGGGACAATTCTCGAATCTAACTCTTTCGCACATGACATATTTATACAAGTTCCCAGTACATATCTTTTCTCTATTGCTAAAATTTGAAGCTGCTTGTTAATCACTTCAAGACTGCCCCTGCCTCGCTTCTTTATTCTTGGCTAGTAAGGCACTAGGTGTTATTTTTTAATATCTGTTAATGTTTAGATTTGAATTGTTTGGTCCTTTAGTGTCATAGAGTCTTATCTTTATACAATTAAAGTGTAAGACCACTAGGAATAACCATACACTGCAGTAAAACCGTTTTTAAACCCTGAAAGCATAAAAAGTATGTGCTAAATGATGTCCATTTGCTCTCTAGGTTCGACCAATTTCTCTAGAAGGTGGCATGTTGATTTTAGTTATTGCCAAAAAAAAAAAAAAAAAAAATTGAAGAAGAAGAAGAATAAATGAATAATTTCTTTTAACATGGTTTTGTTGGAACCTTTTGTATATTTATAATTTTGCTCTATAAGTTGCATATCCTTTTTTCACGATAAGTGCAAAGAAAACAACATGGTAGTGATCTTTAGGTGTCGAGAATAGGGCTTATTAGGAATTGTAATAATTCGCAACATACATAATCATAAATTTCGGGTCAAGCTACTTACTTGAAATGATGTATGTCAAGAACTTTTCAATGGTTAAATCACCTTAATTTCCAAAACTCCAAATCTGCAATTTTCTTGCACTCCAATGGTCACATTCCTATCACAATGGAAGGTGATTATTAGTCACAACCTAAGTGCCTTTTTTTTTTTTTTTTCCCATGTCAAAATAGTGATTCTAGGTTCCTTTCAATTTTGGTGATATTTTCCATACGAATTTCACCATTTTTTTTGCTATTTTTTCCCTCTTTTTCTCTTGAATAATTATTAGAGGTTAAATGGAAGTTAATGAAGATTATAGGAAGTTAAAATTCAAACCATTACCTCCAAACCCTTTTAATGTCTTGTGGGTTGGGCCATCCCACATGGGCAACACATGACCCATATATTTTTAACATTTCCCACTAATACATAATGGGCTTATCTCGAACCACAAGCGACAATGAATATTACACATTAGATCCTTCTCAAGGTCCATCTCACAAAAACTCATACGACAAATATATCGTGTGACCAGCAAGTACATATTAGAGCTTATGGTACGATAAACCTGTTAGAAATATAGTAGCTCTATAAGATGAACATTACATAACGTTATATCGCAACTCATTTTTCAATATTAATTCAAGTATTTCCAATTCTTCGAATATTTATGAACCCCATATCATATCAATGTATTCACAATTATGTTCTATATCCTAAAGGTCAAACACAATTGTTCGGTTGATAAATCCAAATATAAATGTTGAACAAAATATTTTTTCTCTCCTACTTGAATCTTTCATCTTTAAATTAGTTGTTTTCCTAGACATGTTTCTAGGAAAACAACTAAAATAAAATCTCAAGATACTGTCAAAGTCATAAGGGTATAAATGATGTTATATAAACCTTAAAGTCTCACACAATGGAAAAGCAAGAATTCATTCACTCATTTACCCAATATTGGTCATAATGGTATGAAACACGTCCTACGATATTTTCTTCATTTCTTAGGGCTTATGTCACATTCATTGTAAACAAATAGCACCGTACAAATCTTAGTTCAGGCATTCTCCGATACTTAACTTGAGTTCTCCTTATATTCATTCTTCTAAGCAATCTTAAATTGAGAACTCGATCTTGCTACTAAACATGTTTAATGGATAACAAAATTAATTTTGATTACTTGTTGTAATCTCATCTTGATATCTCAATAAGGTGACCAAATCATGTATACAACATGATCACTTGTATCATTTCAACACACCCCAAAGTGTTTGAAGCGATTATTCATGTGAGTGAACCTCTCAACCTATCTGACATATTTTATACATGTATGCAAATCACTATCTCGTAATCCTAACGATAAATTATACATGAATTCAAAATTGTTCATCTATGGGCATACAAAATCGAATCAAGAGTTTGTTGATACAATAAGTATCATATTTTTCTCAATTCTAAACATTTGACACTACCAACAAATATATCTGTAAGTATCTTTAGAGACGAAAATTATAT